TTACAAGGAAAATCACTTGATAATGGAACCCTAATATTCTTTAATGGGTGTCCAAGTGAAGTCTTAATGATTTTATGCATCATTACTTGGCCTGGGTGACCTAAACGGTCATGCCACAACATGAATGTTTTCTGATCATCTAACTTTGTGTTAGAAACCAAATTTATTTCAAATGGACTAATATAAGTGAAATATAGTCCTGAGGAATATGCTGGCAATTTTTCACAAATATATTTAGTGCCAGATTTAGTTGTCGTAAGACAAAGATATTCCTTTTGGTTTTCATTCATGGTTTCTATGTGATAACCATTTTGACGCATGTCTTTAAAACTTAATAAATTTCTCCGCGATTTGCTGGAGTATAAAGCGTCATTTATAATTATTTTTGTCCCGTTAGGGAGCATCACATATGCTTTCCCAGAGCCTTCAATGAGCTTTGCAACACCTGATATTGTATTGACTTTAGCTTCAACTAAAGTCATTTGAGAAAAATATATTTTATTTCTCAAAATGGTGTGCGTTGTGGCGCTGTCTATTAGACATAGCTCTTTATCATTTGAGTGATCCATATCTTCGATACATAAATAAATATAAGTTGAAATGTAAATATCATAACCGATTTCAATTTCAATAGTACGTAATAACTAGCGCATAAATGTTATCCAAATTGAGATTATTATCAAATAATCTTATAAAGTTATAAACCTGTCTATGCATGTGTATATATATGTACAAATATAAGACGTGTTTAGATTTGCAAGATACAACAAATTGTGACACGTGGATATATATACATCCATGCACGTATGCAGTTTAGATGACACATATATACGTAGGTGATAAATAATATGCATAGATTAGTAAACATGTGGCCGGTGTTTATATATCGAATCTTTCTTTCTCCACTCATCGCCGTTTCCCGTCTTCATCATTTTTGATAAATATGATTCGGCTATTAAAGATGAAATTTTAATTCTTATAATCAAAAGAATTTTTATTTTATTTTATTATATAGGATGGTTCCTAGCTTGTTGACTAAAAAATGACATTATATAACTATGATACCGAAACACTCTTGTGATTTTGTTAATACTGTTGCAAAGCATAATTTATAGACAAAATAGATAGATGTGTGACTATATATATGTTATACTAAAATAGTTAAATCTATCATTAACTTGTACTCCGTATTAAAGTGTATGAGTCATATAATTGGATGATATGCATTAACTAGTACAATATTAAACGGAATATACTCCCTTAATCCTTTTCTTTTTAATAATAAGATAAAGTGAACCGTTGTCTCTTGGTCAGATCATATTTGTTTTCTTATGATCCGTGAATACGTAGTAATATTGAAGAAAATAAACTGCTATCAACATATTTGTAAAATTGAGTGGTTTGCTTGTAGCTAATCAGAAGATAAATCTAAAGAAAAACCCGTATATACTCCAATTCTGATAAGTATCGAAATTGCTAATATCGAAATCGTTTGCTGTGTAACCTGTGTTGTCATAATTTGAAATTGGGCAGATCAAAGCCACTACCCGTGATTTTTGGTTTAATTTATACGGAGTATTTCTAATCGGTAATTCGGTATTAATTTTCGTAAAAGGTTTAAAGAAAACTGCAGTAGTCAGTTCTGACTTCTGACCATGCATATAACAGTGCTTTTAAATATATTATTTTATTCTTTGTGTTCACCAAGGCATACCCGTGATCATTCAAAGACAAAAAAAAAGTAAATGACTATTCAGATTGAATTACTAGCCTATACATGTCGAAGTAATATAAGGTATGTAATATAAGCAATTGCAATTATTTTACCACATTACTTCACTCTATTCTTTCCTAGTACTATACCAACATGTAGAACGACAATGATCTTGGTCTCTTCTTTCTATTTCTGCTTTCATTATCTATCTTTCTTTTACTTGCCTCATATAAATCACCATTTCTCAGCCTTCCTTTTGATTAATCGTGTATTCCCTTAAGGCCTCAAGTCATATAGATCTGCATTATTCTTTATACTTCCCCTAGTATACTTTTTGTTTGTGTCTAATCATTCTTTACAAATACATACGTAGTATTAGTTACGGAGTATCAAAAAATGTCTTCTTTTACCTTTACCGAGAGGTCCAAGAGTATAGCAAGATCAATGAAAGAAAATAGTTATTCAGGTATGTATGTTATCTATTTTTTTCGTAATATGATAGAATATTTTATTTAAAACTCAGAATAATTTTCTGGTTTAAATACTAAAAGAGGATAAATGGATAATATATATTGATGTTAATACCTGCAGGTGATATGATTTCTTGAAGAGTTTGAGCTGATTCGTGCTGATAACGTGTTGTGAAATGAAGAAGATGAAGACTAAATTTAAGAGATAGATATATATAGATAAAAACTTCTGAATTACTTCTTCTTAATATCTGAAATTTCTGAGTTCTCTGAATTGCTTGAATTAAATTTACAAAGGATTGAATGCCCTATTTATACTAGCCAGACTTGGGATGAATCATCTAGGAATGATTCTACATAATTTGCTGGCAACATTAAACCTAAACATCTGTCTATTACAAGGACTGGAATTGGATTAGTGTCCTGATGACAAGGATGAAACATTCACACTTGTCATTCTCAGGAATTTACAACATATTTGACTTATTTTCACTGTGTGATTGATTGAAAATAGAAATCCATGAATGTTAAAGAATATTAAAGGCTACATACTTGTTAATTTGAGAGGGCTGCAAATGTTTGTATCTTGGAATTGATGGTGAGAGACTAGATGTAGGCACTACAGGAAAACTGCCTCTAAGTACCTCTCATACTACGTACTGGTTTGTTCTCTGAATGAAATGCATATGGACTTTTTACTATGTGATTTATTTTACAACCAACCAAATAGGACATTCTTTTTTAAAGGTCTAATTCATTCCATGGAGAAGTACTCTTAAGTACTGCCAGGTCTGTGTTAAGGACTGAGGATGTTGTTAGGTGGACTGATTTCAGTTGAGACCGGACTAGGCCAGATCAGACTTTGACAATAGTAATATACACATAACATTTAATACACCAGAAAATTTTAGTCCAATTGAATGAGTTTATATTTAGTACTAAAAAGTGATATTTTAGAATAAAAGTCCACTTTTATATGAGGCTTTCAAAATTTAACTATTTAGTTCTGCTATCTGGATTATATGTGAAAGCCTGTGTGATTTCATCTAGGCAGTAGTACGTCTAATTCTATGACGGGTTAATTGGTTAGTTTTTTACATGTACTTTTTAAATTTGATAATTTACCACTAACTTTGTTATTCATTTGTCACACTAATAATTGCTAGCTTTTATATATATAAACGGGGCCTTAAGATCAATTAGGCGGCCCTACCTGTTAAATTGCTAGTGATAGTACATTTTAAAAGGATTAGGAAAAATTGAAAATTATTTCCAATTATTGCCGGTCCGTCACTAATAATCTCAACTATCGATTATTCATGGGTGATCCCAACTATAGAGACCATTTTCCAAAAATGGTCCCTAACATGTTACAACCTGATGATATAACAGGTCATTTTTAAATTTGAACTATGTTTAAGCTTTAAATAATCCCAACTATATATAGTTGACCTTCTTTATTAATCCCAGCTATCAATTCTCAATTTTTTGAAAATGTAAAACTATTTTTATAAATTTCCAAACTAAATATTTTTAAGCAAGAAAAATTAATTACGAATACTCTACAAATGTACCGAAATTAAATAATAAAAAATAGTCATTTTGTCCTTTCACTTATAAAATTTCATTTTGTCCTATTTCCAATTTGTTTGTCACAATTATGATACCAATTTATGATTATTTTCTTTTATTCAAATTCACATTTTCTATTTTCAAAAAGTAAATTGTGATTAAATTTTTTACAATTTATATTTTTATTCTAGCTTGATCTAAAAATCTATTTTTTTTATTTATTCCATTTTAGTGTTTGTAATTTCTACCTATGTAAAAATATGAATTGCTTGGAATGAGGATAAAAAATATTTACCAAAAGTCCACACTTTTTCTACCTACCAAAATAGTTGGGATTATTATTCCATTTTGATACACTTTTTCTACATGTTTACAATTTCCATTATATCACTTAAAATTATAATATTAATACATTTTCATTAAATATAGTCAAAACCTCCAAAACCTATACCCCCAATCACTAAAATTAAATGATAAACAATATGATATAATTTATAAAATATAATAGTATAAAAAAAAGAAAATAAAAAAAACTAGAAATACTAAAATGAAAAAATAGAACATTTAGGTTTTCAGAATTAAGATAGCATAAAATGAATAAATAAATAAATAAATAAATAAATAAATAAATAACTAAATAAATAAATAAATAAATAAATAAATAAATAAATAAATAAATAAATAAATAAATAAATAAATAAATAAATAAATAAATAAATAAATAAATAAATAAAATTCCAATGATTATTTACTTTTTGAAAATCGTGTAAATTTGAATAAAGGAAAATAATAGAAAATCATAAATTGGTAACACAACTGAAAACAAACTTGAAAAAAAGGAAAAACAATTAGTGGAATTAAATTAAAAAATGGTAAAAAATATTCTATTTAACTTCGGTACATTTGTATAATTTTTTAAATTGTTTATACATGCTTAAAATTATTTAGTTTGGAAATTTATAAAAATATGTTTACTTCAAAAAATTGAGAGTTGATATTTTTGTATCATATATGTTTATAAAGAAAGAAGTGAATAAATTTTTGAAACGCAATAGAAAGTGAGATGGTAATAGGAGATAACGGTAAAACAATGATAGTCATATTTATGAATTTTATCATTATTTTAGTTTTATTTAGTGAATTTTCTCTTTTAGCTAGCCATCATTGACTTAACCAGTGATGATAAATTTCAATCAATTATTTTAATTAGTATATTCTATTAAAATTAATAAATTTGATACTTTAATGATATACTTTTAAGAAAGTATACTTTGATACAATCGCATATTTGCCATATTATAAATACTTTTATATATATGGATATATAACTCTTCAAAGTTTAGCTAGAAAAATCAAACGAAGACCAATTAAAAGGGAAAAGAGTAATTAATAGTGTTACATATACGTACATTAGGACAATAAACAATCTTCCCAGAAGAGCCTATCCCTCTCCTTTTCACTAATCATCTCCAAATTACAAACCTTTGTTTTTCTGGTCGGTTTTGCCCCCCTAACTCCCAACGGCCAGATCTTTTGCCCAATCTTCATGCTCAACACCCACCGTTGATTTACTTCGTCCTCGTCCTCATCATTGTCATCCTTGTCGCAGATGTTATAATCATTGTAACCTTTTTCCTCGTACCTCAAACAACTGGAAATAGGATTAATAAGCTCTTGATCAGGGCAATCGTCGCTGCGGTGGTCTTCGTCGTCAACCTCCCCGATAATGCTACGGCCGCTACATGACTGCGCATCGTCGTCCTCAACCACCACCGAATCCTGGTGTAGAACCGAAGACTCGACATCCGATGAATCTCCGGTGACCTCGAATAGGTAGGAACGGGACAGATCGACGCCGTTTCCGTTGAAACACGCGTTCATCATTATCCGCTGCCGGTTTAGTTGGGAGTGTACGTTTCATAAAATCGGATCGAGCATATCGCGTATACTTCGTATATGTGATGATATGTATATATATAGGGAGTATATGAAGAAATACTGATTCCGTAAGATCTATTGAGTTTTGCGAAAAATGAAAACCTTTTCAATTAGAATGGAATAAATCATACTTCGTATTTTAATGAATTATTTTTATAATTTATATAGAAATTGCTCTAGACAAGACTATAGAAAACCTAAACTGCACAAATAGGACTGCTACATTTTAAACCCCCTAAAATAGGATTAAACATTGATTTCTACATACCATAAATACTCCTAAGGGTATTAATTCATAATGAAATGTTTTAATTCATAATAAAATCTTAATAAATAAAAAATCATAAAAAATATTAATAAATCGTAAAAAAATACTCCGGTATAAAATAAAAAATTTAAATAATTTTTTTTCTTAATTTTTCTTAAATTAATAAAAAATAGTAAAAAACCATTAAAAAATGGATACCTTTTCCACCGCCTCCAAGCACCACCACATCCGGTTGTTGGAAATTTTGTCATCTTTTTGTAAAAAGTGCTATTATTTCCCGAAAATGGTAAGAAAGTGGCATTATTACTCTTCATAATGCCAAAATTCTCATTGAAATCTGTCATTATTATTATGTCATTGTTAAACATGTTGGCAAATTTCCAATCGGTGATGGGAGCTGGGGTGTTGGGGTGGCAGAGGTGGCGGCGTATGTCTTTTATTATTTTTAATTTTTTAGTTTTTTAATTTATTTTTTAAATTTTTTATTTTTTAAATATGTCATAAATTTTTTATTATTTTTCTACGTTTTTTTATTATTTTTTACGATTTTTTATCTTATTATTAATTAAGACATTTTAAAAGGTACAAGGGTTATATTATACTCCGTATGAGGGATTGGGAAAGGCACAAGGGTTATATTATAGCATAGACCTGTGTGTACAAATTATAGTACAATATTATTCAAAATACCACGTGTGTGCACGAGTATAAAGTCTATCATCGTTTGAATTGATTGAATCACCATGATTTACAATCTCCCATATGTTTGGTCAGATCGGGGTGTGGTGATCTTTGGGGTTGGAGAGTCAACCTTTTGGACAAATATTCAAAATACCCATCATCCCATGTCACATGTTATATACTTAATACTTGTGCGTCTGTTCAAAATGTTATATAGTGCATAAGAAATGTTTTTTCCATACTTTAACAACTTTCATTTTTTATTTATGTGCAAATGTAGAACACCTATTCGTATGTGCAGGGCCGTAGACTAGGGCGTGCAAGAAGTTGGGCTCAAAGTTTTAAATATAATCTACATAATATACAAAATCTCTTTTTATTTGATTGAAGATTCCTATTTTAGTTTTTTTAAATACAAACATTAAATAGTAATATTTATATGTAATTAAAATGCAATTATTAATTACAATTGTGAAATTAATTTATTACATAAGGCATAGTTGTAGTAATTACCACAAAGTCCTCTTACAGTTTGGGACGAGCTTACGTATGCGTGTACGTCCACATAATACAAAATGATTATATTTGACTTATGTAAGAGTTTTGTATTTCACTTTTCAAACTTGTTAAATGACATTTGATAATTAATGTGCTCCACCTAGAAACCGCGTCGACCACCATGACTTGTCGATGGTACGATTCTTCCTTTTCTAGGAGGTCTACCTCTTTTTAGCACACCTCTGCGCATGCGTGTAAGTCAGGGGCATAGCCAGAATGGATCGTTTGGGTGACTCGATACAAAGATTTTTTCAGATAAATTTCTACACATAAAATATAAATTAAAATACAATGATTTTTCAAATTTGGGGTGGGTCAGGGCCCGGTTGCTCCACCCCCCGCACATCTCCGCCCTAATGTAAGTCAACCTCTTAGCTTGGTGATCTACTCCTTCAATCTTGGATGTTAAACACACAAGGTTACACTTAGAAGTTGTCACGTTCATCCGATCTGAATATTTTACATTTGAACTTTTAAAGATATAATTTAAACTTTTCAAATTTGATTTGAATCTTTTCTTATATAACTTGATGTGATTTTTTCTATTCTTATTGATTGTTCATTATTATTAAATTATTGTTGTTATTATTATAACAATTATTATTATCCTTATGACTAATTATAACTATAAATATGACTAATAATTATAATTACAGTTATAGATACAACTATAATTATAATTATAACTATAGTTAATATGTTTATATTACCATTATCGTTATCATTATTTTTGTAATTATGATTATCGTTATTATAAGTGTTATCAGTAAAATTATATGACGTAGTGTTACTATTGTTATTAAATTATACCATCATCCGTTCTTTAATAGTTCAACAGTTTCACTTTCACATTTGTCAACGCAGAATTTTGACTGTAATTATAATAATTATGTATTAGTAAACATTATAAAAAGTTAATATTTTGAAAATTCACATTAATAGAAATTTAATAGCATTTTATACACAATGATTTGATTATATATATTAGTAGAAAATCATGATCAAAGTAAGGTGTATGAATAGTGTAAAAATTCAATGTTGCAATTATTAGCGAACAAAAGAAGTACATACCAACAACCTACATTTGCATAATAACAGTAACATACAATTATTAATAACAATAACAACTGACTAATAATAATACGGTGTACTAATATTATTAGTAATAATAACAATATATAGCATATGATGTTTTATTAATTACTAGTGACATACAAATAATGATAGTACGGAGTAATATTTATACTAAAAGCATTCATAATTAATTATTATGGAAGCAACATACAATAACAACATAATATTAATAATAATAATAATAATAATAATATAGTGTAACATTTTTTTTAATATTAATAGCTATCAAGAACTTATGCTTATTTTTATTTTTATAATAACATACAAATCATAATATATACTTGTTGGGATATTAGGTCCAGGCCCAATATCCCTAGGCCCAAATCCGGGAAGAAGCAGCACGCCCAAAGAACTCCCGAACGGCATTCGGGATAAAACTTATACTTGGAACATTCTGGGAAACAATTATGCCAAAGTATCAAGGCCCAAATGTCGATCGGCGTTCGGGATACTCCGGGTAGAAATTATCACTTATGGCGGGGTCCCACACACCGAACACCTTGCCCGAACGGGCGGTCAGCAAGTGGAGGCCGCATTTAATGCTGGATCATGACAGCTGCAAGTGGGGGCATGAGTGCTTACATGGCAGAGGTGATAGCCTACCAGATTCGGCCACGTATCCACCTTACCCATCCCCATTATAGTATAAATACCCCAGTTTAAATCATTGTAAAGGGTTAGCATTTTAATACTCAGAGCTTAGCAATAGATTTACATCTCCCATCCTTGTAATCTCATATTCATCTACCGTTCGGGTAGTTTCAGTGTAATTGCTTAATTACAGAATATAAGTAAGTTCTTGAGTTGAATATTATCTCACTATTTTATATTTTATACACATTTCAACCCTACCCAATATCCCTACAATATCCAAGGCTTGTGTTGGGCTTTCGGATCTTCGGGAAGAAAACCTCAACATTGGCGCCGTCTGTGGGATTCTCCCCCTTGGCCTTCTCAATTTTCAGGCCAGCAGCTTCGGCGACCTTCACCTTGGCACGCAGATCACGGATTTCCCGATCGCGTCGTTGAAGCCTCTGCTCCAGTTCAGCCAGCTCTTCCCTGGCCTTGTCACCCTTGTTGGCTCGATCTTGGAGATCTGCAGCCATTTTCCTAGCAGCAGCCAAAAGGGTTTGGCTCTCATCCAGCTCCTGATGAAGGAGGGTCATCTCCCGTTCAGCAGCTAGGAAGGCCCGGTGGTAATATGTACCGACCTGTGGAAGAAAGAAACAGCAATAAGGACAAGTCCAGAACAATATCAAAAATAAAAAGAATGGACTATACAGTCAAAGGCATACCTTAAGGGACTCGGCGTGGCCTGCTTCAAATAGGTCGGACCAGTGAGTCAGGTTGGTGAAACCCTCACCAGCCTTCAGAGAAGTACTGCACCACACGGATGATGCAGTCTGCCCGAACAGCGTCCGGCATTCGGCTCGGGGGCCCATGGCGGAAAACTCCACCGTCAACCGATCGGGGATTGGGAGACTATCTGAAGCAACACCTCCCCTGTTGCCCAGCTTCCTTGAAGGGGAGGGGACCGTAAGCATCCTTTCCACAGAAGGATCCGTCAGATCAATGACCTGATCGATCGGGACAAAGGCGCCACTGCTTTCGATTCTCGGCCGCTTGTTTACTGGCCCAGATTCCCGGCCAGCGAAAGAACCTGACTGAATAGCCTTCTCCTTTCCCTTGCTAACTATGGCGGTGGAGGAAGGAGTAGGAGCAGGACGCTTTATGGAAACGGGGGGAATCACACCTACAGGAAAGAACGAAGAAAAATGAACAAGAGATTGAAAAATATACCGAACGAACAAAGTAAGGGAAGAATCATACTGATGCCAGCAGCTAGCATCTTAGCGGGAGTCAAGAAAGACCGTAGGTTCTTGGAACCGGCCAGACGGAGCCTTTCGTACTGGCAGAGAATAGCTGCATCCACCCTTGGGGAGGCATCCTGAACGGGGTAGGTGTTCCACCGATCAGGGAAAGGAAGCGGCGACCCCACGTGTACGAACACAAATCTTTCCTCCCATTTTTCCGGAGGGGTGGGGTTGTCGGTGAAGAGCGAACGGCCAGGACGGGCGACAAGCCTCAGGTACCCGGTGGTCCAATAGGGCTGGACGCCGTAGCAGTGCAAAAAGAGATCGGCGCTGGGGGCAATCCCCAACTCGTGGCACCAGACAATGAACCCATTTAGGATCCTGTAGGTGCTAGGCACGAACTGTGTCGGCAGTACTGACACCCGGCGGAGGAACTCCACAACGAACGGGTGCAGAGGGAACCGCAAACCGGCGATCAGGGCGTCCATATGGACTAACACACATCCCGGACGGTGTCGCATGGGATGTTTGATGAATCCCGCA